TAACCAATTCTCAAATAACTCCTTAACGATTGAATCAATGTCATCCATACTTTGCACAGCAGTCTGTATCAATTTGTCTTGACAAAATCTTTTTTTTTTTTACAGAACAATTGGGGCTAGATAAAAAAACACACACTTTTCTTCATAAATTATACATGTTTAGATAATCTAGATCTAAAGTATTGAAATCTCAGTCACGCGTAAAATGGGATTGTTCACAGCATTTCCCGCTTCTCACTCACATTTTGATTACGCATATTATGGCCTACGACAAAGCTCATCAATGACAATTTTTAGTGGCAAAACTTGTTACAAGTAATTAATTTTATAGTGAACGCATTTTTTGCTCTAACGGTTCTCAAAACATGCGTTCAATAAGCGTAATGTCCCAATTAGAAAAACATGAAGGACTTGCTATTAAAAGCAATATTGCCCCTGCAGTAAACATTTAAAAATCAGTCGAAAACACCCACTTAGATTTTTTTATTAGTATTTATTACGGAATTTTCTAGAATACAGCTTGCAGGTGTTTTCGAAAACGTTGGGCTGCTAAGACAAATTGATACAAGTAATTGTGCAAACGTTGGAGAACCCATGTTCGATAGTTGAGGAGATATTACATTGACAAAAAGTTATAATTTTTTACCGAACTGTAGAGGCCAAATCATCATCATGTCCTCAACACTCAAGGTTTGCCGAAATTTCACACGCGGACCGTTTCTATAGTGCGGTCAAAAATTCATCTCACGACTTCTCCTCGAATATCTTTTGAACAGGTTTATCAATATCCCCCATACTTTGCACAGTAGTTTGTAAAAAAAAATAATTAGACTTTACCCTATTTTTCCACAGCAGTTGAGGCTAGATTAAAAACTTTTTCATAAATATAAGTAAAATAGTACAAACCTCCATCGATGCAGTTGCGAGCGCCGTAAATTTCTTTCAAAAACTAAAAATCTACAAACCTCCATCACGTGTAAAAATAGAAGTGTCACAGCACTTCCCGCTTCTTACATACGTTTTGCATACGCATGTTATGGCCTACGTCACCGCTAGCCAATGGCAATTTTTAGTAGCGAAACTTGTCACAAAAAATAATTTTATAGTAAATACTATTTCTTTTTTTTTTCACTGATTGTTCTCAAAACATGCGATCAATATGCGAAAAGAGTCTATATGCGTAGTACCACGATTAGAACGAAGGACAAACTTGCTTTTAAAAGCGATATTATCCCAGCTCACGAGATGTAAACCTTATAAAACTGTAAAAACCTTCCACTATGATTTTTAAAAATTAGTGTTTAATAAGGAATTTTCCAAAATAAAGCTAACAGGTCGCTACGGTATCTTTGAATTTAAAAATGTTTTTGTCGTTTACATTTTTGGCCGTTTTGAGTTACTAAGACCACGCAGTCCGGAACCAAATGTCCATAGATCTGCTTTATCAAATCGTAAGCTTATTGGGAGTCTTTATCACGATATTCAAAGAATTGCATTCGGAAGAGCTTGATTTGTTGTGAAACTCAATGTTTATGATGTCAAATTTCTCAGAACTAAGTACTGAGCAGATAGAACTTATGCAATTCAGAGATAGCGAGGTGTTTACAAAAATATTGATCTGTTAGGATAAATCGCAACAAGTCATTGTGCAAAAACTGGAGAGTCTATGTTCTATACATATAGTTGAGAACTATAAATATTATTTGACAATACGTTGCCCCCACGCATTTTTTGACAACACAATAGTTGATGACTGTGTTAACGTTATGAACCCTGTCCTATGCTGTCATCCCCAGTCAACACCAGAGACCGTACTTATTGGATTCACTTAATCTGGCTTGAAACCCTAGCCGCCTGTCTCGCAATCCTGCTCATCGTCATGATGATGGTCTACCTGTGTGGATTCGGGCGCTGGAAGATGTCGGGGCTCAACACCACTATGGTTGTCACAGCTTTGCTGGCTTGTGAGTGTAGCTTTTCTTGTTGTTCTTGTTCTTCTTGTTCTTGTTCTTGTTCTTCTTCTTCTTCTTCTTCTTCTTCTTCTTCTTCTTCTTCTTCTTCTTCTTCTTCTTCTTCTTC